GGCGGTTCAGGGGTCCCCAGAAGCGACACGAGCTACCCTACGAAGAAAAGGGTCGGGAGTTCCCAGTCTCGAGGTCTCGATAGCGACGTCTAGCCGGGATCCCGATAGGGGATTTACGTGCTCGAGGAGGGATCGAGGAGACGAGGTCGTTCGCAGGGCACGCAACGTCGCGGCCGGTAGAATCACAGCAAGGCAGCCGTCGATCGGGGAGGCGATCGGCTCCATCATTTACGAGGGGGAGGGTCACTCCACGCTCGCCCAACGAATAATGGATGTCACTGTCCACCCTTGGGATGAATGAAGGTGAAGGAGAGTGAAGGAGGGCTAAGAGGGAGGGTGAAGGACGGCAAGGTGCGGAGTGCCAGATCGACTGAGTCGACCCCCGTCCCATGTCCCATGTCCCACCCTACGTCCCACCCTACGTCCCACCCCATGTTCCATCCCATGTCCCACCCTACGTCCCACCCCCATGTCCCAGCCGTTCCTCCTTCGTGACAATCGCTCTCCGGTTTCGTCCCGGGAGCCACGATTCTCTCGAGGAAGTAGGCGGATTTTCCTCCCCGAGTCTCGTCAGGGATGAAAGCAGGGATGAAAGCAGGATCCCTCGAGTTTTTTGGATGCGCTGCAAGGAGGCTTCGAGGCCCTCGCAGAAAGCATCGCGAAACGCCTTCAGTGGTCTCCTGCGAGACATCGCGAATCGCGCTCATGTCCGGAATTTCCAGGTGGCAACGTCATCATAATTAATATATAATATAATAATATAATAATTGAAATAGCCCTAGTCTCGCTGCCCCTTGTGGCTTCTGAATTCCATTTCGGTTCTCTTTTATCGAATCCAATTTTCATAAGGAAAGGCACATTTTGCTTCTGCGTCGCATTGAAACATCGAGTTTTCAATAGATGGCTGGTTTAATTTTTTTTGTAAATTTCTTCATGCAATGGATCCTCCACGCTTTTCTGCAAACGATGTGGCAAATTAATAAAGATTTCTACCAAGTTGAAAAAAAAAATTTCCCCGGTGCTTCAAATGCAACAACTTCTCGAAGCTGAAGTATCGAAAGTCGCGGTGGCGAAGCATTCTGCTCGCTGCTCATTTCTTTTTTTAATAAGAAATTCTTCCTTTCATGGAATTCCTCAAAGTGCAACCAGAACATGAAGCAACAGCAATAACGCAAATTTTTTTAAATTTAATGCTCTGCAATTTTTAGTACTTCAACTTAACAAAAACTTTTATTTGATGTTCTGGATGAATTTTTTTGAAAACAGGCTGAAGCCTCCAAAATTCATCTGAGATGTCACGTGCAGGAAAACAGAAGCTGGGAGATATTTAAAATAATGAAAAGAACAGCAAAAACCTTTCTTTTTTTGTCAAGACGGATTGTTTGAAGCCGAAGTTTCCCTCAGGCCCAGAAGCTGAACCTGACGGGGCTGCAGAACCAGTGGCTGTTCGTGCTCCCGGACACGAACGCCGTCACGTACAACCCGTACCCGTACCTCAAGAGCGTGAAGGACGGGGACAACTTCGCCTTCATCTACAACAACTCCCTGCCGCAGGCGCTGCGCTCCAACTGCCAGGTGAGATGGACAGGGAGAGACAGGGAGGACAGGGAGGGAGGACGGGGACTCACGTGACTCGTGGATGACAGGAGACGATCTTCTGCTACGTGGCCACCACGGTCGACCTTGCCATCAGGGGCTGGGAGGAGGACTTGAAGAAGCAGTATGCGTTGATGGAGGAGCTCCCGCTCGAGGAGTGGGATGACGTGAGGCCGAGCAAGGCGGACAGGGCCGGGAACGTCGCGGATTACGTCCAAGTAGGTCTCGTCGTGTGATTACAAATAATGTGTTGAGAAAATGATAAGACAGTTGAAATACAATAACGGAGGAAATTGTCATTTCTTCGTGCCGTGGGATCCGCCTGTAAAAATCGACAGAGCCTGATAGACGGCGAAGAGCGGTGCTCCGGCTGCATCAACTGGGGACTGGAGGCCGTGGAGATCAAGAGCGAGACGAAGTTCGACTTCGTCGACGTCGGGGCGTGGCAGCCGTTTCAGGGATTGCACCTGTTCGACGACCTCTTCCCCCATGTCACGGGAGGGTTCCGGAAGCGGGTCATCGCCGTGGCGTCCGTCAATGTATGGTGTCGATTTGTCGTGGATGCAAAAAAAAAAGGGGACTCGGGTCGATGCGGTTTTTCTGTTCTTTCTAGTTCCCGCCCTGGCAGATCTACATACGGGACAAGAATGGCGCTGTCATCGATTACTCGGGGCTCATGTTCGAACTCATGGACGAGTTGGCCCGGAAGCTCAACTTCTCGTAATTGCCATCTCGTCGTGGCTGGTCTCTTGGAAACACAGTATCTCTCCTGGTTTATTATTATTTTATTTATTTATTTTAGGTACATTGTGTACACGCCAAGCGACGGGACGAACACGGGGGTGGTCAACATGGTGCAGTCCGGGGAAGCCTTCCTCGGGGCCGCCGCGATGGTCGCCACCGTCCCTTTCCTTTCTCGATCCTCTCTCTTCGTCTTGCACAATAATTTCTTATTTGGTTCTCTGCAGGTGATCAGCGATGACAGGCTGAAGCAAGTCGCCTTTACAGCCACGATCGACATTCAATCATACAGTTTCATGTATTCCAGGCCGAAGGAACTCAGTCGGGCGCTCATTTTCATCGAACCTTTCACGCCTTTCGTTAGTTGAAGGAATAGGGCTTCCAAGTTTCCGCTTTTTTTTTCAATTAAATCAAGTATAAGCGGCTTTTTTTTCCTGCTGATCTCTTCTCCCAATGGAAAGGCTATCCTCCGAGTCTTAAATCATTTTTCAACAATGATCGAACCGACTCGAACAGTCTAGGAACGAATGAGCCCATAAATTCCGAAGGAAATGTAGCGAAATTTCTTCCCAACTCTTCGAGGATTGTCTCTTCTAGGTGTGGATATGCATAGGATTGACGTTCGTCATCATCGGGCCTCTGCTGTGGATCATCACCAAGTACTCCCCGTTTTACCTCCATCACGGAATCACGCACAACGGATTATTCCAAGTCGGCAACTGCAGCTGGTACTGCTACGGAGCACTCATGCAACAAGGTGAGTCGAAAACTGGCATATCAGCATCCGGCGACGTGCACCTCTCCGGTGACGCGCACCTCCCCACTGACGATCACCTCCACGGATCCGTAGGGGGGAATCACATGCCGGACGCCCTGAGCGGGAGGATCCTGGTGGGGACGTGGTGGCTCTTCGTGATCGTCGTCGTCACGTCCTACTCCGGGAACCTGGTCGCCTTTCTCACCTTCCCCAAGATCCAGAACCCTCTCAACACGCCGCAGGATATCTTGGACAATTCCCGCTACTACACTTGGGGGGTTAAAAGCGGCGATTACATCCTGGAGTATTTCAAGGTGAGGCCTGCTGTTGGTTCATAGCAAGGGCATTGCTCGAAAATACAAAGAAATCCTAAAGAAAAGGACCGAGTCAAGGTTTCTGAGCATGATTCTAAGCTTACATTAAGCTTGAGATTCTCATGAAAAAGGGATAGACTGCTTGAAAAAGAAAGTCAATTATACATAATCATACCCCTGACTGGAAGTACAATTGTCGTTGCGCTATTGCTCACCTTAAAATGATTCAAGACTTGAACTTGGTCCCTCTTTAGTCTCAATCGAGACACTTCGCTCGTAATGGCTGTATCGCTACAGAAAGCATTACGATAGTCCTCGTCAAAACGAGCCATGAAACATCATCACTCCGTAACACTCCACGATGAAGCCTCTCTCGGCGTTCACGAACACGTTCCGTCGTCCCCCCCAGGTCGCAACGGAGCCCTTGTACAAGGGACTGGGCGAGAAAGTCATCGTGCACCAACCCGGGACGGAGGCCAAGGTCTTGGACCTCATTCGCAACAACAACCACATCTACATCGCATGGAAGACCAACCTTCTCTTCCTCATGAAAGACGGCTTCAAGGCGACCAACACCTGCGACTTCTCTCTCGGTCTGTGGCGCGACAATGTATACCTCCTTCGTGGGAGAGTATCTGTTATTCAGATACCATTTACAGGATATTCAGATATTTTCATGGGGCTACATCGATATATTGGCTTTTCCAATACCTAATTCGGATATTCAGCTGATTGAAATTGAGTGCCAATATCTAATATTCTACATCGCTAAGTCTTAAAAACTGATCCCCCCCCCCTCCTCGAGAGAAAAAGAAAATAAATAAATTACCAAATATTTCGGATATTCGATTTTCGTTACCAACCGCTATCGATAAAATATCATAGCAGCCTTAATATTTCTACTTTTCAGGCAGCCAAGATTTCTTCGAAGAACGTGTCGCCATGCCGATAAACAGAGCCAATCCATATCGAGACGTCATCAGTCAAGAGTGAGTGAATTACCCTTCGGCTGGAGATAAATTTTCCCCCGTGGTTTTCCTGTGATTTTTGGTGGTAGAATCAATCGGATGCTGGAAATCGGTCTGACGGAGAAATGGAAGCAGATGTACTGGCCGAGGGACGACGAGTGCTCCACGACTGCCCTGGGTGGGGGAGACGCCACCAGGACTGTCAGCATCAGGGACATGCAAGGCTCCTTCTACATCCTCGCTATAGGTCCGTGAAGCCTTGATGTCCCTTCCCGCGGATCCGTTTCATTCTGACAGTTGCCTTCTCCAGGCTTCGGAACGGGAGCCCTGCTGGTCATCTTGGAATGTTTATTCGCTCGACGAGGGAAGGGCGTCGTCGTCAAGGTCTCTCAATTGCAGAAGCAGAGCAAGGGTCACAAGGATGTCATCTACCCTTTCGTCTCCTAATCGCGAACGATGTCGGCGGGCACGGCTTCATTGCACTCCAAAGATTCCTTTGCACCCTCAAACGTCTCTCTCTCTCTCGTGTCTCGACACTTGTTCTTTTTTTCCGGTTTTCTCTCTACCACTGGCACCGATTGATGTGAATTAACTGTGCTATTCCCCTTTGCTTGGGCATATTCTGATGGTGACAGGAGGAGTGATCTCTGAAATGAATACCCTTGTCCCATATCGCATGTGTCTCATTGAAAGCGTTCGATAACCTGAAAATTGCATCTTTTCTTTCCTAAGTTTTTTTTTTTTGGAAGAACACCACGAAACTCGGAACAAGAATATATTCTTTTCTCAAATTTCTTTCCATTGCTCCAGACATTCCAGGAGGGAAAGACGCTGGATATTATCATGTATCAATAGGGCATCACCTTTTTTTAATGAAAGCAATTTCAAACCCACTTTCGTGAGCGAGATTTCAACCGAAGTGCGAACGAAGGAGTAGATAGAATAGGAACGAAGTAAGCGCAGGAACGGACGAACACAAGGAAGCGTCGTGGCCCATTTTACTCCTCGGTTGAAGGCTGAAAAGCGCACGGCACTCAAGACTTCTCCCTGGCTCCTCGAATCAGGACAAGGATAGAAAGGAGGGGACTTACACGAGGGTTGAATTCGTTTTCGTCGCACATGCAGTGTGCGTAGTCTTCGCCACAGTTCCAGCAGAAGATGGGGAAGTCAAAGCTGCCCCTGTCACCCGTGGCCCTGCACATCACAGCCGTGTCATCTAAGTTGAAGAGATTGCCGGCAGCAACCTCGTCCGAAGTCAGCTCCCCGAGTTCTTGTCCTTGTCCCTATCATCCCCGCAGAAAGCACGTTAGCCCATCAGTAATTTCTTTTATTAGTATTCTCTGCCCCCCTCCAAAAGAAAATAAATAAATACAATAATAATAATAAATAAATAAATAAATACAATTTTTAAGCTCTCACCGAAGGGTCACTGAAGCCTCTGGCATCCGTACTGGCGCCATCACCATTGCAAACAGGAACGAGCTCGTACGTCCCGTCATCGAGGACATAGTCTTCCCGGGGAAGAATAACAGACCCGGGCATCATCCCAGCAGCCATTAATTCCGAGCGGGAGTAGCAGGGAAACATTTCATAATCCATCCCTGCGTAATTGTAGTACTCGTCCATAGCGAAGGCATGAGCAGCCAGATCAAGGCTATTCCGATCCCGATGCCCTTTCTCCATATCGGACTCGGACTCCAATTCGAATTCGAGGAGGAGATAACTGTTGGTGGGGCGACCGTCGCGGATCGCCTGGGCATCGAATGAATCTTCGCCATCTTTAGGTGTGGACGTGATAATTCTCCCTTCATTTCCCTCCTCCAGAAGCTCGACCACAGGTTCAGCGGCATATCCCACCGCACCTTCTGGAAAGGATTTCGCCACATCCACTCCTCCAAACACTCCACTCTGAAGTCCAATTGTCTCGGCGGATGCTAGCCCTCCGTCTACGTCATGTGGCATCATGTCATCTGCGACTACCAACTCACTGTCGCCAGAACCCTGAAATGGAACAGCATGAAGGCTCATCGATGTCCGCTGAGGAGATATTTTGCTTTAAGGTACATAGGGAGGGGGGGGGGGGGAAGCTTTTCAGATGGTGGGGTAGTACCTCAAGCAACTCCGTAGCGTTGTGAATGCAATCAGCAGGTTGAACCCTGCGAACATTCCCCAGGGTCTCTCTCTCGCCGAGATTTTCATAAATATTCGAGGCCAACAAAAATTATGCCTCTTTTTTTATTTATTAGACAAGGAGCAACGGTATGGAAGAGAGAAGTATGAGTGAAAAAAATTTGGCTGCTGTTGTGTATTTCGGTTCGAGAGGGACCCACACAGTGTCCGCAAAGCCAAATGAAGTGATGGTGAGAAGACCCACTCCAAAAACTTAATCTCAACCTGGCATACAGGTACTCTTTATTCAGCAGCAGAAACAGAAGAGAATACCACCGAAAAAAATGCATTCTTAATTTCTGAAGAAATGCAGATTCCCCAAAGACATTATCAGCCCTAAACAACGTTCACATTTTGGCTCAGCATTCTTCACGTGAAGATTCTTTGCGAAAGAGTCGTATTCACACAATCTTTGCCCATTCCTCTGTTCCTGTATAGGAAACCAAGGTCAGGCTTTGTCTCCAAGGTCCGTTGGGCCGGCCGCACACTGGTGAAACATGTATCAAGGTAAAACACATATCAAAAGTGTATCATATATGTTTCAACCAAAAGTACGAGAGCGGTTCAGGGTTGCCCTATACTTAGTGTCTATAACCCATACCCACAATCACGTGTTTCCTGCTTTAATACATGAGCTGATAATCAAGACGGGGGCAATTGAGGTAACGAAGAAGGATCAGCAAATAATTATGACATTTCGTATCAACGAGAACATCAAACCAGTTTAAATTTACAGACGATTTTCTTCGCAGTATGATGATGATTTTCTGTGGAGGACATTGTGAAGCATTTGGCTGAGGCAAATTGTTTAAAGATGGACGTGAATTTGCACAGAATGAAGAACACGCTGCAAGACCACAGCCACCACGCCATGCTGCATGTTGTTCCTTTTGTAAAAATTCAAATTTATTGCCCTGAATGCCGATATATTCAAAATTCAAGTTCAATAGGCATGTTCATTCGTGGCATGCGTAACATCAAACAATCGTGTTGAAGGCACATTATGGAATTCGCTTTTGGCACGCTTTTGCTCGAAGTGGGGTGTTTTGAATTCTACCATCAGATGCATCCAAGCAGAAAATTTTGAAGTAATTGTTGCTGCTTGTGTTTCACATAATTTGGTATGACCGTGAGGGAGTAATGACAAACTCTAACCCACCCACAAACCTTGAGAATTGCGACGAAGATGAAACCTTCCAGCTTTAGCATAACCTGATTGGCAACATGAGTAAATCTACTTCTAGACCCAGCACGTCTGTTGTGGCAGTCCGTGACGTACTGTCAATATTTTCCGAAGCCATATGGTGAACTCGATTGGCACTATGCAAGAGTACGCGTCCAACCTATAATTTTACCCAGTTCACCCCTTTTGCATTGTCCCTATTAGTGGGATCGTAGATCGTATCACTGCACAAATTTTATGCTTTTTTCTGGACTTCTTCCTCTTGACGTCTGGCAGATCTTTCCTCGGCAAACTTGCGAGCTCAACTGATGCAACAGCGTTGACAAATATACAGAGATAGAGCAAGCGCTATCCTAAGAAGCTTGTATCATGCATGCTTCTAACGGGTTGAACCATGCTTCACCAGTGTGCGGCGCCCAACCGTTTGCAACGTGTTCCATCCGAAGAAGTGCGTATCATACGTGTATGATACATGCTTCACAAAAATGTTTCACCAGTGTGCGGCCGGTCTTAGTGTCAAATCGTGTGCCCTCGAGTGAGCATGGTGGCGATGGAAAGTCCATTTGCTTCCTGGGAATTTCCAACTGTGCCAGCATCTCTTTGCACTCTTTTTCTGCCACTTCTTCATACGTGGCAAAAGTTCTTCGAGGAGAAATTAAAAATCCAGCTGCATCTTGCTGAAAAAGCAACTGCTATGCAAGAATCACATGTAGGAACGGATCAGCAAGTTTGACGTTGTTGCCTTGCGATACCTATCCCAGTAACAAGCAATAAAAAACACCTGCAATATGCATTCTAACATCTGGCGATCTTAATCTCTCTAGCCGCGTCCCGTATTGCGATGCCTAGGTTCCAATGCCCTTGCCCAACAGATCGGTTCCAAGTCTCGTTCCCATATTTTTCCTAGGTCAAAGAGAAAATAGGAAAGTCAAATACAAGGAAAACAAAACGCGGCGCTGTTTCGCATGAGGTACTAGTTTCAAAATTCGGTGAGGCTTTCAGGGATTTTCTTCTTCCTGTAAATTCCCAGCGATTGAAATTATAAATCATGGCTATCCATCAGAGCTGTCAGACTCATAACTTGCGCGCACCAGACTACAGTATTTTGCAATACATTGTAAATATATCAAGGGGCGGATTGCAGTACTTATTCATTATTTTTTCTATGCGAGTCATTCGCCGCTTTCAGGGTTTTATTTTTATTACCAAGTTCAGCAGTCCAGCCAAAGATTACTTACCAAATGAGGATTTTCACCAATGCGTCAAACTGATCCGAACGACAGAAGTGGTCCGAATCTCTTTGGACCTTACGGTCCAAAGAGATTCGGACCACTTCTGTCATTCTGTAATACCGAAGGGAAACTTGCTGCGTAGGGAACGTACCTTACTCGACTTCACCTTCTTGCCGACGCTGACAATTATCTGAGGGGAACTCGTTGCTCGCTTCAAACACCACGGCTTGGATGCACTGGGATGAGCTTGGAGTCCTGCAGCCGCTTCTGATCCGGTTTGTTTGAAGGTGTCACTCGCCACCTTCGTGTACTGCGACTTCGCGATGCCGGTGCTTTCACGTTTGCTGTCCATGCCTCAGACTTTCAGGAATTACTTATGGAAAAATTGCTATGGTCAGGGAGAAATAGCGATATCCATAAGTTCAGAATGATACACGGACTAAGGCTCGATCACTTCACCAAAGGAAAGATGACGAAAGGTACTGTCCTTCATTTTTCTCCAGGAATAAACGTGACGTGAGAGGTAACTTTTGACCTGAGGTGACCATGATGATGGAATAATAGGCCTACAGCAGGCATTAGGGGACATCCTTATTACAAATCGTCTCTCATATTGTTACAATGGGGTTTTAATACTATTAGCAAGTCTTACTTTGAATATAATATGAGCGAGTCCTGTTAAGCATTTTTAACTTCTCGTCAGCTAAATTACGCAAAAGTCCCTTCCTATTTGCAAATCTTGTAATTGCGAAACAATGCCAAGAAACGGAAAGTGAAAATTGGAACTGAGCAGAAGTTTTCGCATGCGTGCTCCACAGCACACGCCATCTATTGTATTATTATTTCATTCAACACATTTCGGAACACTGTGACATCTCTTCTACCGGTGAGACATCTGTTTTACTTTCAAGTGTTTGAAATTTCAGCGACTTGGTCTGGCCCTGCCCGACCAAGCGGTTGCCGATTAAGCCTTCCATACGACCTACGAGCTTCACATTTGCGGGGGGAAAAACCTGCACCTTGCTTCAGTGTAACGTTAAGGCTAGCTAGGCCTAGACCTACAAAATGCCAAGGGCATTCTACAGCCTACAGCGAGTCCAGCCCTGCAAAAAAATATGGAGGTAACAAAGGCTTCCTTTAGGCCTACGCCTAGTTCATTGCAGGCGAAGTGGAAACAGAAAGCGAACGAGCTGCGAATGGGGAGGCGACTGGTTTTCCTAGACAACGGAACAAGTCTCGTTTGCATTGCTTCTATTAAATCAAATTTTAATGCAAAAATTCAGACTTTAAGAACCTGTCTTTAACTTTAGCCAGTTGCACTAAGAGTCAGTCCAACTGAGGCTGAAGCCAAACTTTCCCAAGTCAGGCAAGTCTAACTTTGACGGAAAGCAGTGTCCCTGGTCTTCTTCAGTCCAGTAGAACATCAAATGATTCCGACTACGGCTTTTTCCACGCATGTTTATCGAGAGCCAAACGAGAAGCTTTGGAACCCAACCGGAAAACCCTGCACGAAGGTCGCTAGTTGAAGCACTGCCGCCAAGAAAGAGCCTCTTCGACTCATCGAATTATCCTGGATTCAATGGACGCGGATGAGGACAAGCGATCTCGCGAATCTGGTTCCTGTCTCTTATTCCCCAAACTGACGACGAAATCACTCCAAAATTATGAGTTTTTGAATTTAAAAAAGAAACAGATCCTGCATTGGCACAGCCAGAAGTAACTTCCACCCCAAGTGAAATGATTTTGGTATTTAGTTGAACGAGTAGGAAAGTCAGTCTGCTGATGGGTGACCTAGGTTATGAACAAAAACTTTTCACCGCAGTATTTTAAACCTAATAATATCGTAGACTCGATTTAGCTCCCTTTTAAATGCTAGAGAACCTTTCACTACTCCTTTTAGCTATTGGTTTAATACAATTTTTACGCGAAAAGGAAATAATGGAAAAAATAATTAAATAACTCATTCAACCGTGTTAGGCTCCTTTACCTCAATGATAGCCCAGGAATTTATCCTAAAAGATGACATCTTATGTTAACATCCTGCAGCTTGCTGTTCTCACCACCTCGACGCTCCCGAGGTGGGGTGGGGAAATCCTCTCGGACCATCTCAAAACGGAGGCCCGGGCTGCCAGGCACCTGGACCTAGTTCACCCGTGTGCCTGGTTGGTACAACTGCTGCTACATGGAAAGCTTTTCATCGTTTGCCTGGCATGCTAACGCATGAAGAAACGAAAGATGGAAGTTTGGAACGTCTAGGAAAATTTTGATTCGCAAGAAACTTTTTGCCAGCATATTGCCAAACGCTTGTCATACTAGCTGCGAGGATGCACTGAAATGCGATGTTCGGAGCTAGCCAGCAGTGCACCACCTCCCCTGGTCACTTGGTCCTTCTAGGGTGAGCGAGACGAATTCCGACCCTTCCATCAAGTTCCGCCTTCGGCATCACATAAGATCACATAAGTCAATATAAGATGTCCTAGCTGCCTTTCTTAACCAAAGCACCAATATCCGGTCTGAAAACGAGAATGGACAGTGCATGCATTTTTTTCTCGAATAGTATAGGTCCTAAAGCCATCAAGTTCAAAACGTAGGCGAGGAACGGATTCAGGCGCAAAAACCACACCCATAACCCATGTGTTTCTTCTTTTTTTTTTCTTACAGTAAATCACGATCGTCCTTTATACGATTAGTCTTTTCGTAATCTCCACTGAGAGTGGGTCCACATTTGTACTGCAGACACGTGAGGTACACCAGTGAGTTAAGCCTATCCATACGTCGGAGTTGATCGCGAACCGACGCCAGCCAGGCAACTGAGTGGCGAGCACGTTTCAGCTGATCATCATCATGGCGGCCGCCACTGTTAGCGAAATTTCTTCGCCTGGATTTTCCTTTGCTAACTGCCAGCGGTAAGGACGAAATTTATCTTTGTATTTGTCAGCTGCATAGTATAATTTGTGATCCTCCAAAAATTAAGCTGAGGAACTTCTTGTCGGCTGTAGAATCGAATTAGTTTGGCCTAACGTTTGGCGGCTATAGCTAACGTTTGGTTAACCATGACCGCCAATCCGTTTTTCACGTTAAGCCTAACCACCCGGATTGGCTTAACGTGGAAAAGTAGGCAGGCCTATGGAAGCTTTACATATAGGCCCCACTGTCTAAGGCTTAACGGTTGGCCTAACTTATTTAGATAGGCTTAGGCAGAGTACCCTGGGTGACTGTCCAAGTTTTTATGTCTTTGAAGAAGGCTTAATTTATGCCTAGTCTTATGTTCAGGGTACAGCGCTTTCCACTTACATAAGAAAAATTTTCACTTGACTTGGACACTTGAGTGTGGGACTTTTCTCATGTACGATTGTTGAAGTCAAGTGAGAAAATGTTTTGAAAGTCATTATTTGAATAAGAGTCCTCCAATTTGAGTTGGTTATGCTGGGAAGAAAAGCATCATGAAATGACTTAACATATTATATTGCTAAATACAGACATTGCTTGCAGTGTTGTAATTGGTGTTTGCAATTATGCCATTGATAACTGTTAAAATTACAGGTAATTCTCCACAACTGAAAAGCTCCATGAACTGGGAACATGAGCAGTCCTAGCATCTGAATTTCTTGGTGTAGGTTCTGGTGAATATGACTACTTTGTCCATTCAAACTTCATCCTGGCAAGAAGTATACCTGGTTACAACTTTGTAGCATAAGTTATTCCACCATGCTTTGATAAAACTATAGACGTGTCAAGTCTTAAGGTGTGATTAAGCTCTATGCTTTTGCTTATATGCTCCTGGCAACATGTCAGTGCATATGCACAAGCAAGTGTTTGAATAGATATGAAAAAACTTCATGAGTTTCCAAGAATACATCTTTTGCTTATTTATTTTCTCTCTTGTACATGAAATTTCTAAGCTTACCACAGGATGAAATTTACAGATAGCAAATTGCAGTATCTATATCCAGTCTTTTAATTTTCAAGATTTCATATAGAAAACTAGCCCCAATGAAGGGCCAACATAGAGAATCTACAGCTGTCTACCCATGCATCCCACTCAAAGTCAACATTGGCCCAATGGCATGCTACATGGACTTCTGTCATTTTGTCACTTTGAGTTAATTTCGGTCACATGGAAAATATTTCATGCTCAAGATAACTTATTTATCACTAGTGTGTTTGCACTTTGGGCAAACAAGGTACCCCCATGGGGATCCAAATTTTGAAATGCCACCTAGCCTATGACCATCCCTGGACCAAATGAGGAAGCCATGCAAAGTCTTGTTGGACTGGGATCAGAGGCATAAAAGACAGACACATGCACTCAAACACTCTGAGATATAAGTAATATAGATTTTGAGGATGCTATTGATTTTATATCATAAGAGGCATGTTTGCATGTTTTGGTGCAAAGATGGCAAGATAACAAGTTAATATTTTTTGTGGTTCCTGCTCAGACTTCTAGCCAATTTGATAAGCATTCTTAAATTCTTATTGATCCAATGTGAATTATGTTTGACTTCTTTGACTTCTGAGTGCTTGTGCACTGCTTGATTTAAAGCTACAACAAATTTAGTAATTAACAGGAAAGGAATGAAAGGAGCATCTTCAGAAGGTTTTCCCAGATGCATCTCAGTTATGTATTAGTGTCAGTACATTGTCACATCAGATACATTAATAATTTATTCTGTGTATGAATACCTGCTCATTATGGCATCTCGTATAAAAAGAGCATGACAAGAAAGTGAATGCTTAACTGTCCTGTATATATATATATATATATCTGTCTGTTCTAAGTAAATGTTGACGAATTTGCATATTTCTCTATCCAGGAATGCCCATTTGGAGTCCAAGGGGTACCCTGTACCCAAGGCAACCAAGACAGGAACCACTATTTGTGGGACAGTCTTCAAGGATGGAGTGATCCTTGGTGCAGATAGCAGAGCTACCAGTGACAACATTGTTGCTGAGAAGGAATGCCAGAAAATTTACTATCTGGTCCCCAACATGTAGTAAGAGACTCAGACATCATTTTGCCCCCTTTCCTGTATCATAGACTTGTAGAAGCACAGTTCTTCAGTAGCTGAAAAGTTCACCTCTGTACCTAATGTTTCTTTCAAGAACATGGTTTCAAATGGATAAACATAAAGGGAGTGAAAAGTATTTATGTTAACTGCATTGACTACTGTTTTTTCCTGTCTGATGGTTTTTTTTATAGGTCTATCTGTCAAAGCCTATTTGGCCAATATGATTTTATGTTATAGTAACGAGAGAACTCTCATCTCTAAACTTGGCAAATATGTATATTTGTAATATTTATTCCAGAGCACAAACATTTTCTCTTTTAGAAAGAGAATTGAGGAATGCTCCTGAAAGCTGAGAATCTCAATTTTCCATTGGAAAGACAAACTTCTTCATATAATTATTCTTCTACCTAATAATATTAACACCCCTGTTCTATATAAATGTTCAAATTTGCATTCTACATGGCTTTTCTACAGTTTAATGCTCCTCTTTCCCTGCTTTGCAGTACTTGTGGTGCAGGTACAGCAGCAGACATGGAAAAAGTAGCTGAGTTGATCTCTTCTCAACTGGAACTGCATCGTTTAAACACAGGTCGCTCTGTACCTGTTGTTGCTGCATGTCGTATGATCAAGCAGAGACTCTTCAACTATCAGGTGAGTAACTACAAGCCACAGATTGGTTCCTAAGATGCATAGACTCCCTTTGCGATTCAAGCTGTGTCAAATTAAGCAAACACTGGTCAAATTCTCCAAAGGAATTACTGAAGAGTTTGTGGAAAACTATTTACCCCTGTTCACTGGAACATTGAGTAGAATCAAAATGTTCCTCCTTAGAAAGTTGAAAATGTGGAACAGCTGTTTTATTGCTTAGTGATGTATTGCATCAAGTTTTTCAAGATAAATTTTTTTTAATTACTGGTATCACAGAACAAACTCATAAAGCATGAACCAGATTTGTAGCAGCAGAAGAGAAGAGGGGAAAAATTTTATACTGGAAGTAAAACAACAATGGGCCAAGCAAGAGCTTGTGCTACTTTCTGTGTAGACTTTATTGCACTTCAATTTTTATTGGCTTTTATCAATATAGAGAGCTAACGCTCAGTTATTTTGTGATGCTTTCAGAAGTGAAACTCTTTGTTTTAGTAACAGCAACTGCTCCTAAATGTGATTTATGAAACAATACATTGGAATCATTTGGTTGATTGAAAGATGACAAGAAGCCAAGAGTTGGTTTATTCTTGGCCTGCAACTGCTCCTCTGATTGAGCATTATTGTTATATCCTTCACAACTGCTTTTCACACATCAATCTGTATAGTCATCATGAAACAGATGTTTAAGGGTCTCCTCTTCCATTCCAAGATTGATAAGTTTACTTAATGACAATGAAATCATGCAAAGTAATGAAGTTGATATGAAATTGAAAAAAAATCTATTAGATGCTCTATTGACAGAATGCACCCCAACATGGTGCAGAAATCCCAACCTCTTACAAGGCCTAGCCACAATTCATCCCATTAGAAAAGACCCTTCATCTCAGGATGACCATCTAGCTTTAAAAAAGTATATGCACTATCATAACCATTGCTTCCACTTTCTGGTTTTCTATTTTGAGCAGGTGTTGATGAATTCAAGTTTAACCCTTATAGTGCCAGAGCCGATTAGAGCAATGCCATGAATTTCATTGAAAAGGCCAGTGTCAAAGAGCTGATGATTAAAGGGTTAAGAAATGTTTCTAGTCTGAGTGTTCAATTGTGTTCCTTCTCAAACTTTGGACATTTTAGTGCCAGCTCTTCAACTCTGGCATTTTGAAGTGATATTTGTAGCATCACTGTAAGCAACTCTGGCACTGTAAGGGTTAATGAGAAATATGAAATTATGGTTTTGTTCTGACTTTATTTCACAGGGCTATATAGGAGCTGCACTTATAGTGGGAGGAGTGGACAGTACTGGGCCACACCTTTTTGAGATTCATCCTCACGGATCATCACAGACTGGGATGTTCTGTACTATGGGATCTGGTTCATTGGCATGCATGTCAGTCCTTGAAAGCAGATGGAAGGAGAACATGAATGTATGCATTTTGCTCTCTCAATTCTGTGTAATGTACTTTAGACTGATGCTTTTACCCAATATTCAAGGTCTTGGAGGTAGATGTTATTTTGGGAGTATAACCACATACTGACTTGTCATTTATAGCTTCATTGCTCCTTTTTTTTTGTTTTGTCCATGAAGGCATCAAAAGGGCATATGTAACCAATATTGTATGTACAGGGTGGGGCAAAAGTGAGGGAACAGGATTTTTTGGGGAATTTAATTTTGAAAGTGACTGTTTGTTTGATGGCAGCACATTTCCATATCTCTTTTTTGTGAATTTGGCATATAGTAGTTGAAGTCCAGTTTGGAGTGTCCCTGCTGCAAACTAAAATAGGCTGCAAATGAATGACCATTTCCCACCTGGACCAAGCATGGCAATTTTGGTAATAATGTGTCATTTCCATTGCCATTCGTGTTGGTTGACCTCCATGCTTGATAGTGCACAATTTAGCCATTATTTTAATGACAACATTTGGAAGTGATTTTTCACTGAGTGTTATGAAGTAATGTAACAATGATGCATTAAACCAAAAATGGGTGGAGTTGGTGATGATTATGCAAAAACAGATAAAGTTTTCAGGAAACTAGTATGATTACCATGAAGGACAGCCAAAAAGGTCAAGACTGTTGATTCACTGCATTTCAGATTTGATAGCAAAATTCTGGGCAACTGGCAGTGTTCTTGACAAAAAAAAAAAAGAAGAGAAATGTGCACAATAGAAGAAGCTGACCAAACAGCTCTTCTGGCAAATGTTGAGAGCTGTGGGCATCGGTGAAAGGTTAGACCAAAAGGATAATTAACATCCCCCGCAGAACTCCAATGTTCCTTGACCCCACCCTGTATAACCAAAGTCAGACTGACAGGCCCATCTGGTGTGTGCTGATAAAAGCATGGAAACTTGCAGTCTGTTGGTTGGATGACTAGCTGATTTTTTGCAGTAACTTAGCAGCACATTGTCTTTTTGTTCTAACTTCCTACTTATGCTATGTTAATCTCAACAATGTATCTTCCTGGTGTTCCTCATTTTTTAAATCTTGTTATTGCTGTGGGGTGTTGTAACTTGTGGCCTAGCCAGGGGTAGGCTTCAGTTTATTTGCTAAGTTGCAGTAAGGCCTAAAGATGGATAAGGAATGACTAGAGAATTCTTAGAGGCATCAGTTACTTGATTAAACCACTTTGTTCTCTTCCACATTAGACGTATGTGCACTCTTACTCTTGCTCTTCAGTCCTGATAACCCTCCAGTAGGCTAATGAATGGATAGGCATATACTTGACAGAAGAATCCTTTTTTATTTTCCTCCCAGCATTGTGATCCTGAAATCACATTTCACACAATTGTCATCATGATGCATAGAGAAAATGGTAGTGTTCTCTCTGAGGATAAAGCTTTTCCAATCGCAAAAATCTATCCACTTCTGGGTTCCCTGGGAGAACTCTGGAGCTTGTAAGGTGTGATGCACCTGGAAACAGTGCAATGAGGCAGATTTAGAGTGAAATTGATGGAACAATAATCCCTCAAGGAAAGGGAGAGATTGCATGATCAGCAGTATGCTTTGGGTGGGAATGAGTGTATAACTGAGCACAGTAATGTCTTTGAAATAAATTACTTGCTTGCTTTCTGAGGTCTGCATGACTGCACAAACTCAGGTTTAGTTTCCTTGCATTATGACTTCTGATTCTCTTTCTTTTCTTTTACACATTAGCTGCTCTTGGATTGCAGTATCCCTTTCCAAAAGTAACAGTGTGAGAGTGAAAGTCTCTTTTGTTTTCTTGCTTTCACTAAGATTTCTTCTTGAGACTTTCTGTTGATCCAAGACCAGTATTAAATTCTTATCTTCATTATTTTCTTGGTATTTTTTTGTCTTTGGATTGCTGGTATGAGAAATGTGAGTTTACTCTTGGGAACAAAAATCTACAAGGTATGGCAATGACCCTATTTAGATATGAGGAACCACTGCAAGTACATGACCCCATGCTGAATGGATGACAATGGAGATGATAGTCTATAGAAGCTAGACCAGCTTCAATGAGCTACTATCATTCTGTGCTGGTACACTTGCCTTTTGCCTCAGGACATGAGAGAGGGTGCCTATAGATAAAAGCCTTTTTGCCTCTTGGCAATAACAGCTGTAGACTTTGATAAAAATAATGGACATTTTATGGCCACTGTGACCATATGGTTATGTTAGGTTACAACAGTAAAAGAATTTAGTACTGAAACTCCTTTTTCCTATCTTCTCTAGTTGGATGAAGCAAAGCAGATGGTGAGGGATGCAATCAAGGCAGGGATAACCAATGATCTTGGCTCAGGAAGTAATGTGGACATGTGTGTTATCACCAAAGACAAAGTGGATTTCATCCGCCCCTATGAAGTTGTCTGTGCCAAGGGTGTCAGGTGAGTAAGCATCCTTCTCTTATGAATGTGTGCATTTGCAAAGCTCAGAAACACACTAATCAAAATTATTCTGGAAGAGAATCAGCATAAAAGTGTTTCCAATGGCAAAAACATGCATCACTTGTGCATGGGGATTTGCTTATGTTTTTTGTGTCCAAATTTGTATATCATTGAAACTTCAGCTCTGTTTGGTTTTATTTTTGAAGGTATCTGTATGAATTTCCCAACATTGCTTCTAAATTCTGCAATTGTTGAATATATTTAGTTTTTTTTAGACATTTCCTGGCAAAAGAAATATTAGTTGCATTGCTCTGTTATGAGGACTATATTCATGTTTTTCTCCTAGGGAGGGAAAATATGACTTCAAGCCTGGATCAACTGCAGTCCTCAGTAAGGTGGTGAGGCCCGTGATAATCGAAGAAATGATTGTCAGGCCAGTGAAACCTACTGGTGATGATATGGATACAACCTCATAAAGAATTCATGCTTATGAACGAAGGGATGAAGAAACACCAATTTGATGGCAAAAAAAAAACTTCACTGAAAGTCTGAAATGAAACTGTAATTCACTCCTGTATTCATTCATATTCATGTTCTTTTGAAATAAACCAGGAAGCAAAAATTATTGCATTTCTCATGATCCAGGGTGGTGGGAAATACAGTAACCAATGTCTGGGATGCTCTTTCATGGAAAGACCTCTGTGAGACTAGGAATTTGCAGAACTCTGTAGTGATGAAATGCTGACAAATTGCTGAACAACATTCTTACATCAAGGTCCCTTTAACTTCATACTAGATTGAATATCCAGTGTCTTGGAGGAATTTCCCCTTCCCCCTTTTCAACAACATTGATCATGAAATGATCTCAGATTGGTTTTACAGTTAATATAGCCAAAGGAAAATAATCTCATCCATGTTCTAATAGTTCACTCTATGAATAGTGTGTGCTGGGGCTTCCACTATGAATGGAAAGCTGAGACAGTGAAGACTGTCTCTGACTCTTGTCTCTGAGTCTTGGTCGAGCGTTCGTAGCGTGAGGACGTGTTGGAGGATACTCTCGAGGTTCTGTCAGCTAAGTCGTGAGTTAGTTGTTACCTGGCTACTTTGTAGCAGTATTCATAAGTTTTCTGATAGCTACCTCCAACTTCACATTAGATCAGTATCAATCAGCTTAATTACTTTAAGTATTAGCTCATTACTCGTAGTATTCCTTTTACTACAAGGACTAGGACAGTACAGTCTTACCGGGTTACAACTAGTGTGAAGTACTGCAAAGTATAAGTCTAAAGCAGTAGGAGTGTCAATAGGGATCAATAACATTAAGTAAGATGCCTAGGATGTGTAGATGCGTTCGTTGCGGGGATTGGGTAGGTGGGACTAGT